AATTTACATCATTAATGCTTTTCAACCTGTGGTGGGCCGGTGACTGGTGATTCAAATAAGAAATATGTGAATTGAGCCTATGTTTTGGAAATGAATTAACAGTTTATTCAGTTAATTGTGAATTGTTAATCTCAGGTTCTAAATAAAATGTAGGAACTTCATTCCTTACTGAAATCAGAAATTGGTGTTACTTAAGCCTTGGTGTGATGCAATATTTTCATGAATCACTTCAATGTTTCTTTTATTCCACTTTTGTGGCTTAAGTGGTACTTGATAATTAAATTGCAGGTATAAAGAAGTCCTTGAGGTCATATTATGTTTGGGTATGGTTCAGTAGATGTCAGAAAATGTTTCAAATAAATCTCATAAAAAGGTAAAAAACAGTGGTTGTTCTTACATTGCCTTAATTCACATTATTGTAGTATCCTACTTACAGTAATACTATGAGTGATACTTAACCTACACAGTATATACTGCATAGATATACAGTATATAGATATATAGTAATATTTTCCCTTATGCTTCATTCTGATTTTAAATCAATAAACAAACTAAATTTCTGAATTTGTAAAGTTAATAAGCATAGTTCTATTCTTCAGCTTAGCATAATGTTTTTTAACATCACAGTGTTTACTGTATAGGGCTGAAATATGGACAATATACAGAAGACACTTAAAATGACTGGAGTCATAACGCAAATGCTGTTTGAGGTAGATTTTACATATTAATTAAGAAGACAGATGTACACAAGTCAGAGTTCTTCTCTGATCTTCTTCATATCAGCTCCATTGCGTCCAGTTGCCCAAAGAAGATTCACTTCTCCCTGTGTAGTCAAGGCAATCATAGATCCCAGAAGTTTGTGTTTTAAAGAAATGGTAAAAAGCTAAATGCAACTTCCATATCAACTCCTGGGAGATTGTGGCTGTTGACCTAACCAGATGGAGGAATAATATCTGGGAAGCAGCCCAGCACTTTAAGACCCAAAGATGTCAGAACCATGATGCAAAGCATAGTGTCAAAGAGTGCTCACCATGACCAGATTGTGCATTGCATGTCCTGATATCTTCTTAGACAACACCTGTTCAAACGGCCAGACAGTGCACACGTCCTGCAATAGCCTTAACTGTCACCTTCGTGTTCATGGGAGACAATTATAATTGAACACAAAGGATAGTCAATGGATAAATTGATAAACTAAAAACGGAGTGGTGGCTCTGTGGCTCAGGATCTGCGCCTGTGGCTGGAAGGTTGCTGGTTTGTATCCCATGGCTGGCAGAGGAGTGCTGCTCCAGGGGTGCTATACAATGGCTGACCCTGCGCTCTGACCCCAAGCTTCTCTATCTGTCTGTGTGTCTCATGGAGAGCAAGCTGGGGTATGCACAAAGACTAATTCCTAATGCAAGAAATTGTTTGTGGCTAACAAATTGATCTTATCTTATTATAATAATAATTGCTTACACCTATATAGCACTTTTCTGGATACTCCACTCAAAGCGCTTTTACAGGTAATGGGGACTCCCCTCCACCACCACCAGTGTGCAGCCCCACCTGGATGATGCGATGGCAGCCATAGTGCGCCAGAACGCTCACCACACATCAACTATCAGTGATAGTATCAGAGGGGAGGAGAGCACAGTAATGAAGCCAATTCATAGATGGGGATTATTAGGAGACCATGATTGGTAAGGGCCAATGGGAAATTTGGCCAGGACACCGGGATTGCACCCCTTATCTTATCTCTTAAATGACAATACCACTCTTAATATGACAATCACCATTGAGAAAGCATGCATTCTGGAGGGACTGTTGCCTGTCCATCTCTGATCACTTCTGTAAACTCATATGTAACAATTAAAGAAAGGAACACTTGACATCTGTGTTCGATACTGCTCCAGCACCTAGTCTATTGTTATATTTTTATTTTTAAACTATAACACTGAGTGACTTACAATATATATTCATGGGTTATAAATATGCCAAAAATGAATTTCATACAACTGAGTGGTGAAGTCAGTAGATGAGTTCTGTTATGAATGAAGTGCTGGTTACCAGATGCGACAGCTGACAGTGTCTATGGAGTTCATAACATGAATGGGAAATTGCAATGGTTTTAAATACCTTTATAATAAAAACTAATCAGCACATTATTGACAAAATTCTTACCAATTTTTAGGTAGTGTCTGTCAGTTTAGAAAAAGTCTTCATGAGTTGACATGTAACAATATCCCAATATGTAACATGTCTTGTCACAGTATTTTAACTAGCATGTGACATTTTGAAGTTTTTTGCAGATACTCAGTTAGTGGCATCTAGAGTGTATGTGCATCAAGAGTAAAAAAAGTTTTATTGTGTTAGTAAAACATTCTTCTGCATTAAATTTGTGAAGCACCATTGCAATGTGATCATACTAGTAATGCCTGAGAAAAATGTGATTCAACACGGTTTCTAACAATGAAAAAAATCACAATTTACTGTAGGTTATAAACAGACTTCTAGTTATCAATTTTTAAATGATGTTTTCAATGTTGCTTTCTCCATTATGTGCACAGCTACCCAATAAATTGGCAGCCAACAGTGCTAAATTTCTGGAAGCAAGTTGAGATACCCCTCATTTTTTGGCACTGTAGTGTCTGCTCATTGAAGGAAGGTTCTGTTTTTAGACTGCAGACAGACACATTTGAAATGCTGGGCACGTCGGCTGTTTGCCTGTGCTACAGTAAGTACTCACCAGTTTGTGGAGCTTGCAGGGATGTTGAAATTTACTCCCAGGTGGGACTATCAGCTTTGAAGAAAGTATCAAACTTATAGTACATACTATGGGTGTCCATAACAATAACTATACCAGGTTAATTCTGTAATTTACACATTTAAGCAGAAGGTACATATTTTGGTAACTGCTGTACAGGCTATGTTA